CCACCTGTAAATGCCAAGAACACTATACAATATTATGTAGTAAAATTTGAAAATTTGAACAGCAATACACCAATTCTCAACACGACCAATAATACTCATATGGATTCCAAGGCTATTTACGGTAATGACATTAATTTCACCTGAATAAATTTGTCATTTCTGAGACATCCAAGATCATCCGAAGACGTTGAAAGATATAATGGTCGTTTACAGCATCTTGTGAATACTTTGTAATGGCAGGGCAGTTGCTATTGTCCTGCACCAATTTCCAATGATCTCGAAATAACTTGACATACGCATTTATATACTACCGTTATATTTTTTAATGATTATTCATTTTACCTTTTTAGGTGAGTGTTATAATATAACTATAGCTGGTGTAAATGAAGCTGGTAGAGGAGAAGAAATTAAGCAGTATATTTATATACCAGAAGATGGTGAGATATTTTACTTCAATTTTTCAATGTATTGTTTTTAATTCAAAATTTACTTGATATTTTGCTCAATATACTTAATATTTGTTGTTCAATATTACTGTAAATACTTGATGTATTCTGTTGCATTTTAATCAAAGTATTAATATTTTCTGTCACATTTTGCTCAAAATACTTGATGTTTTTTGTCGCATATTACTATAAATACTTGATGTATTCGCATTTTACTCAAAGTATTAATGTTTCATTTTGCATAAAATATATGATGTTTCTGCCGTATTCAACTCTAAGTAATTTCTTTCTCATCAATGTACTCAAAATACTGGATAATTTCTGTTTCACTTGGCCCAAAATACTTGATGTTTTTTGTCGCATATTACTATAAATACTTGATGTATTCGCATTTTACTCAAAGTATTAATGTTTCATTTTGCATAAAATATATGATGTTTCTGCCGTATTCAACTCTAAGTAATTTCTTTCTCATCAATGTACTCAAAATACTTGATGTTTTCTGTCACATTTTGCTCAAAATACTTGGTTTCACAACATTTGTTATTAGCTATCTCATTCTATTGAATAATTTACATGACTTATATAACTTCTGAAAAGAAATATTAATTCAACAGTTCCAGATAGGGTCTCTGATGTTAGAGTTACAGACATCAAATCTAAATCAGCTAGAATTCATTGGAAGGAACCAGCAATTTTTAAAGGAACAATAATGAAATATACAGTGGTTCTTTTTGATTCCAATAAATCTGAATCTGAAAATAAAACATTACAGTGTGATGAAAGCTGTTATAAATCACAATGTTTAAATATGACAATGAAACAGAATCAGGTAAATAGAACTACTTATTACGATTGTTATTTCATAGGAAGTACTGAAGTCTCTTTTGCCAAATTTTTGGTATGAAAAGAATTCTTCGGATTAAATAACATGTATCGCCATTTGGAAACTAATATTCAAATTTAATTAAAAATAACATTTTCCGTTTAATTCCAGAGTTCTCAAAGGGTAAAAGCGTTCAAGAAAGACCAGGATGAGCTGGAAGTTGAATTTGGAAATCTTAAACCCCATTATAATTACAGTGTTGAGATCACTGCATTTACTCGAAATAATGAGAGTGAACCTGTAGATATAGAGTTTATGACAGATGAAGATAGTAAGTATTATCAATAATTATACTCGAGATAATGAAGGTCTATTCATCACTGTTTACACTCGAGATGATAAAAGCATATTCATCACTGTTTACACTCGAGATGATAAAAGCATATTCATCACTGTTTACAATCGAGATGATAAAAGCATATTGATCAGTGTTTACACTCGAGATGATAAAAGTATATTCATCACTGTTTACACTCGAAATGATAAAAGTATATTCATCACTGTTTACACTCGAAATGATAAAAGTATATTCATCACTGTTTACACTCGAGATGATAAAAGTATATTCATCACTGTTTATACATTTATAACTTTTATATTAATTGATATAATGATAGTATATTTATCATTGTTTTAACACGAGATAATAAAAGTCATCACTGTAATTCTCAAGATGATAATAGTGTATTTATCACTATCTATACTCGAGATAATAGAAGTATATTTATAACTGTTTATACTTGATATAAGAAAAGTATATTTGTCAATGTTTATATTCGAATAGATGAAATATATGTTTCACTACTTATACTCGAGATAATGATAGTGAACTTATCACTAGCTTTAGAACTTTACTTCGAATTTTATGAGCTTAGTTTAACCTCAGGTTTTCCCAATGAAATCTTGTTTAAAGCAACTTATCTGTAGTATATTAGAATGTTTATACAGCATTTTCTCTTTTCAGTACCAGGTACAATTGATAAAGATTATATTTTAATCAACGTGATCAGCTCTTATGCTACCATACAGTGGAATCCACCAGCTGAACCTAATGGAGTGATACTGTCATATAATATAGAATTATTAGATAACACTGAAACAAAAGAGAGTAAAAATACCACAAAAACTTCAGTTACTTTCTCTAATCTACAACAAGCTTCAGATTATTCTATTCGAATAAAAGCTAAAACATCAAAAGGATATGGGGGACCATCTGATCTACACAATTTCACTACCAAATTTGCAGGTAAGCGGTAAACTTAATCAACGCCCGTCCTTTATAAGTATCCAATTTGGCGTTGCTTAGGAGCATTTTGATTAATTTATTTATTTGAAATTAAGGTTACACTTTGATACACTGTGTTCCGTTCTTTATTCATCTCATCCCATTACCAATGAACCATCAACGTACCTAAGAATAGAGTAAATACTTGTCCAGTCACTAAACTGAATTCTTTAAAAAAAAAATACCTTTACTTTTGTTTGTATGTTCAGCAAGGATTAGGGCCCAATCTACACCAGGTTCTATTTTAGAAGTAATTTCTGTTTTAATGCAAAATTGGTTATAGCCTATCAATCAAACCACTTTTGCTTGATCTGACGTCCGTTTAGTTAAAAATTAGCAAGATCACTTGAAAACTATATGTCTTCTATAACAATATCTTTACAATGCCCATATGATAGAGGCATCCAGGAATGAAAATGCTACATGTCTCAGGATATATGTACATATTTTAGAAATCACAAAGGTAACTTTAAGCTTTTCCCTGATCACTTTCTTTACACAAGTATACTGCATAAGGTTAAAATTTTAAATCTACATTATTTTATTGATATCTTTCTTTTCAGATTTGAGTCAAATTCAAGATTTTGGTTGGAAATTTGACAAAGAAAAGAATCAAATTGAATTGACGTGGAAGAAACCAGAAAATGGGATAGAGTCGTATCTGAATTACTCTGTAAAGATAGTGGATTTGAATAGTAATAGAATTGAGTCCAAAGATATTACTCGAACTGAGACAAGGTTTAACGTCACATATGGTAAGTATACAGAACGCAATGCTACAAATAAACAAAAACTAATGTATCGGATGGATCAGAAAAAAACCCAGAAAAGAATGTCCGATACATGTGTAAAAGGATGTCGGATACACATTTAATATGAGGTCAAAATATTATGGTCTTTGTTTTGATACTTTATGAATAATCAATAATGAATTGAAACGTGTTAACTTTTTTTCTGGACCACCCGATATAATTTATCATACTCAAGACGATATAAGTATGTTTAACACTGTTTATACTCAGATAAAAAAAAGTGTATTCGTCACTGTTTCAAGATGATAAAAATATATTTACTTGAAATAATAAAAGTGTATTTACCACTATAATGATAAAGGGAACACTGTTTCTACTCGAGATGATATAAGTATATTTATCACTGTTCATAATCGGGATGATGAAAGCATATTTATCAATGTTTATACTCGAGTTAATAAAAGTATATTTATCATTGTTTATTCTCGAGTTGATACAAGTGACTTTATACTCGAGAAGATAAATGTATTTGTAACTGTTTATACTCGAGATAGTAGGAGTGTATTCATCATTGTTTATACTCGAGATAATGATAGTATATTTATCACTGTTTATACCTGAGATAATCAATGTGTATTCATAATACAAAATATAATTAATCAATCATACGAAACGATCTTTTTGTGAATATATAAGTTTAAATTTTTAGGTGAGTGTTATAATATAACGATAGCTGGTGTAAATGAAGTTGGTAGAGGAGAAATGTTTACTCAGTATGTTTATATACCAGAAGATGGTGAGCCACTTACTTTACCTATTCCATTCTTATTAGAGAAACCAGCCATTGTTCCTATCACAAATGTCTGTAGCATTGAGCACCCATAGTGTCTTGCCCAGATAGTACTACTTTACAGTGGCGTTTCCATAAATCATTATTGGATGAGCCGAGTAGGGGCCACACAATTACAGTTTAATAATAGTATTTTAAAACTAATATGTAATACATCCTATGGCAATATTGTGCCGTATTTAAGAATAATTTATACCCAGTCAATTTCGTAATGCTTCAAGTATCATTTGCGAGCAAACAAAAACATGAACATAAACAATATATAATTATTATAACTTTGACATTTAATTTTATAGTTCCAGAAACTGTCTCTGATGTTAGAGTTACAAACATCGAATCTAGATCAGTTATAATTCGGTGGGAAAAATCAGCAGTATTTAAAGGAACAATAATGAAATATACAGTGGTTCTTTTTGATTCCAATAATGTAACATCCGTAAAGAAAACTGTAGAGTGTGATGAAAGCTGTCATAAATCACAATGTTTAAACACGAATTTAAGACAACAACGGGTGAGTAAAGTAATTTACATTTTTCTGAACATATACAGTGTACATGCATATTTTGATATGAAATTGGCGAACGCAACATTTTTATTTCAGAGTGTTTCGAATATGAAAAGATTTAGGAATAATGAGAAGAGATTTGATGTCGAATTTAAAGATCTTAAACCCTATCATAATTACAGTGTTGAGATCACTGCTTTTACTCGAAATAATGAGAGTGAACCTGTACAGATAGAGTTTATGACAAAGGAAGATAGTAAGTATTAAATACAGAATTTAATTATCATTGCTTATACTCGAGATAATGAAAGTGTATCAATCACTGTTTATACTCGAGATAATGAAAGTGTATCAATCACTGTTTATACTCGAGATAATGAAAGTGTATCAATCACTGCTTATACTCGAGATAATGAAAGTGTATCAATCACTGCTTATACTCGAGACAATGAAAGTGTATCAATCACTGCTTATACTCGAGATAAGGAAAGTGTATCAATCACTGCTTATACTCGAGACAATGAAAGTGTATCAATCTCTGCTTATACTCGAGACAATGAAAGTGTATCAATCACTGCTTATACTCGAGATAATGAAAGTGAATCAATCACTGCTTATACTCGATACAGTGAAAGTGTATCAATCACTGTTTATGCTGGAGATAATGAAAGTGTATCAATCACTGCTTATGCTCGAGATAATGAAAGTGTATCAATCACTGCTTATACTCGAGACAATGAAAGTGTATCAATCACTGTTTATACTCGAGATAATGAAAGTGTATCAATCACTGCTTATACGCGAGATGTTAAAAGTGTAGCAATCACTGTTTATACTCGAGATAATGAAAGTGTATCAATCACTGCTTATACTCGAGATAATGAAAGTGTATCAATCACTGCTTATACTCGAGACAATGAAAGTGTATCAATCACTGCTTATACTCGAGACAATGAAAGTGTATCAATCACTGCTTATACTCGAGATAATGAAAGTGAATCAATCACTGCTTATACTCGATACAGTGAAAGTGTATCAATCACTGTTTATACTGGAGATAATGAAAGTGTATCAATCACTGCTTATACTCGAGACAATGAAAGTGTATCAATCCCTGCTTATGCTCGAGATAATGAAAGTGTATCAATCACTGCTTATACTCGAGACAATGAAAGTGTATCAATCACTGTTTATACTCGAGATAATGAAAGTGTATCAATCACTGCTTAAACGCGAGATGTTAAAAGTGTAGCAATCACTGTTTATACTCGAGATGTTAAGAAGGTATCAATGACTGTCTATGTTAAGTGTATCAATCACTGCTTTATACTTGAGATAATGGAAGTGTTTCAATCACTGCTTATACTCGAGATATTGAAAATGTATCAATCACTGCTTATACTCGAAATGTTATAATTGTATCAATGACTGTCTTTGCTCGAGATGTTAAAAGTGTATCAATCACTGTTTATGCTCGAGATGTTAAAAGTGTATCAATCGCTGATTATACTCGAGATAATAAAAGTGTATCAATCACTATTTATGCTCGAAATGTTAAAAGTGTATCAATCGCTGATTATACTCGAGATAATAAAAGTGTATCAATCACTGTTTATGCTCGAGATGTTAAAAGTGTATCAATCGCTGATTATACTCGAGATAATAAAAGTGTATCAATCACTATTTATGCTCGAGATGTTAAAAGTGTATCAATCGCTGATTATACTCGAGATAATAAAAGTGTATCAATCGCTGATTATGCTCGAGATGTTAAAAGTATATCAATCAAAATCAATCATTTCTTTGCTAGATAGTTTATGGTCATTTTGATATCTGAATTGTAGAACCGGGCAGAATTGATAAGAATTCGATTGTAACTGGGATCAACAGTTCTGAGGCAAACATAAATTGGAAACCACCATCAGAGCCTAATGGAGTGATACTATCATATAATATAGAATTATTAGATAACACTGGAAAAATAGAGAGTAAAAATACTACAAAGACTTCAGTTACTTTCTCTAAGCTTAAACAAGTCACAGAATATTATGTTAGAATTAAAGCTACAACATCAAAAGGATACGGGAATTTTTCAGATTTGCTGAAATTTAGTACAAAGCTGAAGGGTAAGTTAGGAACGGTTTTCAAAAATCATAGTATTTGTGCACAGAATGAATATTGATCGCGGTAAGGTTATTTATCAGCAGCGTCCGTGACTTCAGTCTCTCGAAAACGCTGGCTACGGCATCAATTTAAATTTATGTCATGAAATGGCCAAGAAATCACTTTCTTTACCAACAGAGCTGTAGCACCACACAACTTGCTTTACACTCACATGAGGAAATTACAATGCGTTATCACACTGAAAAGTTAGAACATACTATACATTTATCTCGCTATCACACGGGAAAATTACAAAACAATAAATGCGTTATCTTATGGGAAAATAACAAGATAATATGCGTTATCACATGGGAAAATTACAAAATAATAAAAGCGTTATCACATGGGAAAATTACAAAACAATAAATGCGTTATCACATGGGAAAATTACAAAATAATAAAAGCGTTATCACATGGGAAAATAAAAAGATAACATGCGTTATCACACAGGAAAATTTTATTTGTACTTGACAAATGATTTCAGTTCCTTCAAAACCAGAGAATGTTAGAGTGAAAGATAGAACATCAACAAGTGTAACTCTCGTATGGAATCGGCCTGCAAATGATCTGAATATATCACATTATGTACAAGTAAATGATACAGTACGGAATATCGAAATTAAAAACGTATCTTGTGGTGCAGGTATGTATTGTAAAATATAGATTATTGAAAGTTTGTAGGTCATGACTGCCGACTGGGGTATTAATTCAAAGGAAACGCTGGTTTGAAGAGTTGCTATATTGGGGTGTTTCAATCCAACTCTCTCCTCGATACTCCCCCATACAAAATATAGCATGGTCTGTTTAAAACTTACGGAGACAGAATCGTTATTTTCTATTTGGGTCGTGAATATGTAAATAGTCTTCGGAAGAATTAGAAAACTACAACAATGATTCTTTCAAAAATACCTCAAACTTGAAATAATTAAACGCGGCTAATTCTAGACATATATGGATTTGAAGGCTCGAATTTTGACGGTGAGCTGTGAACACTAAAGTACAATTAGTCAAACGGAGGGCGAACCTGTATCTTAAAGATTGTTAGTTAGTGCAAGGAATTTGTTATCAAGGCACTAAAAGTCTAAGATAATCTTATCTAGTTTTGTTTTCCTATTGTTTCAGATTCAAGCTGTCATGTAACTGGTTTAAGAGCATTTTGGAATTATAGTCTCCAAGTTAATGTTGCAAATAATGAAGGGACATCTTCTTCCGAGATAATCAGTATCCAAACACTACAAGACAGTGAGTATGTTTTTCTATTGGCAATGTCCAAATTATGGCACAAAACGAAGACTGAATGATATATGGGAAATACCTACAAGGTTCTGAATCCTTTTCCAATCTCGACAACTGCCATCGTTTCAATGACTTTAATCTCTTATTTACACCCAAATGAGATCTTAATTTTGTACTTTTTAACGCCACCTTCGTGATACAGATTTACTAGAACAGAAATTTTTCTTTGAAGGCAGGATAAGAGCTAGACTTACCTACAATAGAATTTCATGACGGATATTTGATTTTTTTGCACTTTCTAGAGCCAGGCAAAGTGTCAAAATTTGAAGTGAAACCAGAGAGTGATCTTTCTCAACCACGAACTATTTCATTAGAATGGGAACCACCAAATGAAATGGACAAAAATGGAAAAATTATGAATTATGTTATATCATTTGGTCAAGTTCGTGAGGTATGTAACTTTTACGATTTAAGAAAGATGGAATCAGGCATATATATTGGTGAAATTTATATCTTACTCCTATTGATAACCTATGAAAGCACCCATTTAAAGCATTTTATGGCTTTTTCATTATGCAACCTGTGTACGTACTTATACCTTGACTACAATAGTCACCTTTCTTGTTTCATGGAAATTTATAAATAAAGCGATTTGTGTTGATTGTACGCTAGTGAATACGGCCAATAAAAGGTTTCGACAGAAAGTCTGTTAACAATAAGCCATTATGTTGACAGCCTTTCTATCGAAGGCTCTGATTGACTGTATTCGCTGGAGTACAACCAATCAAATCGCCGCATTCCGCCATACAAGAATAGTAGCTATTGCCGTCAAGGTATAATTATTATGAAGTGTTTTGAAATGAATACCAATATCTTACGTTGAGTTTACTTTAACTTTAGGACAAGAAAGAGATAAAGCTAGGTTTAGAGACAAAATATGTTCTAAGCGACATTTATACTGATGTTCAATATGAAATTAAGGTAAGAATTGGAATATTTTAACTATTTTAACGCATGCATAATTAAACATCCTTTGTTTATGATTATTTGTGGGCAACTTTTGATTTTTGTCACTAATTTATGAAAGCCCTTTGTGCAAAAGTTTTGACCGTTGCTTGTAACCCATCCCACTTTTACACCAATTCAGCATTGACAGAATTTTTTATTAAATGGCTCGCAGCTCACTTAATGGTAAATAATTTCACAGTCACGTGATATTTTGAGTGGATACTAGCCTTATAGTTTCCAAGTTAATTTAACTTGATATGATCTAAATTTTACTGATAGATTTTTATTCTATTCTAAAAGTTAGCAGCTGTAACAATAATTGGAACTGGAGTATTCGTTACCAAGATGGCGGTTGTACCACCTGGTATATTACCAAAACCAATTGAAGTCATACCTCTTATAAAACACCTACCAACTCATCTGGTAGAAGAAAAACAGCATCAAATACCACTACAACTTCCTCTAGGGTTTCTTTGTAATACATCCTATGGTGAAATTGTTAGTCGTGGTATTTTAGCTGCGAGAGGAAGACAATCTGTCATTCCAGAAGGTGAGTAGTTTATTCAGTGTGGTCGAAATGATTCATATGTGGAAATATGTAAAATTACCATACCGGTATTTTTTTTTACCAACCATCTATCCATGGTATATTTACCAACCATCTATTCATGGTATTTTTACCAACTATCTATCCATGGATGTATTTGAAGTTAAAAATATACGTCGGCGGTGTAAGTTGAACTCTTGTCTTTGAGATGCCGCCGGCCAGATCCTTACACTTTTTGAAATCTTACCAAATCTATTTCCAGTGACATCCGAACTGAACTACCCTTCCTGGTATGATGCTAAAGACTCCAAAACTCTTTTAACGTATCAAGTTTCAAGTTTACCCTCGTTGAGAAACTGTAGATACAAAGAAGGTAAATATGGATTCATATACCAACACAGAATTGAATAAAACAAATAAAACGTGACTTCATTTGGCTCGTTTCCTGCATCACAAAATGCAGCGATTGGATTGGATCCGAATACAGCCAACCAGTGCCCTCGACAGACGGTCTGTGAACATTAAACCGTGTTCACGACGAGAGCTCTTTTTGTAAATATTCGCTAGCTTACGATCCAATCAAATCGCTGCATTCCGTGATACAATAAAGAAGCCCAAATGAAGTCATTGCATTAAACGTGATGGCTTAATATTTTCAGCTGAACAGGCATCAGATTTATAGACAAGACAATTTCTTCTACCATGTCAATATAAGTTGCTAATGGGTAATAAATTCGAAAACCAAAAAAGTGAATATTTTTTGTGTCTGTATATGTATTTAACTCATTACGCCATAATTGCAGGTCAGAAAGTATTTATTGTTGGTAATGATAAAGAGTGTAAAAATGTCCAAGAGAAATATTGTAATGGTAATCTACTGCCTAATAGTAATTACAGGTATGCTTTATATATTCCAATCAATTCTACTGGTATGTTTTATTTCGAGTTTAAAGATGTAAAGACCTATCTAACTCTTTGTGAACTTTCAGGAGAACATAAGAACATATCTGTTTCCCTTTAAGGTGGTAATGTAACAAAATAATGTATCATGGAACACTTATTGTATTAATTAAGATAAAATCCAGATTTTAAGAAATATAGTAATCTGATTGCACAATGTAACTAATTTCAAATCAATTTTTAGTAATTGACCAATTAGATGCCTGGGTCAATGACACTAAAATCAAGGATAAAATCTAAAATAGATGTTGATTTTTTTTATTCAAATTTCAGGTTTAAAGTATATGTATGTACCAAGGCTGGCTGTACTTACTCCAACTTCTCGTATCCAATTAAAACAGGTATGCAACATATCTTTTTGCAAACCACAAAAAAACCCCAAAAAACAAAACCAAAATTTTACAAAAAAATTCAAATAAAAAATGCAATATCAACATTATTTTTGTACAAATTCTTATGGAAAAATGTTTGAACCGATTATAGTGGTCCAATTTATTTCAAAATGTTTTATAATATGGAGGCTCGTAGGTTTCGATATTGACATTGATATGTTTTATTTGCCAATAACCAGCCGTAAAGTCTTAGACGCTTTATGTTGTAAAATTCAGCTCTAGGATTTCATGAAAATCAAGGCAAAAGTGAAATGTACAAAATTGTATAGCAAGTATCTGGCAAATGTAATGTAACAATGGTAATATGTTTAGCTGCCAGTAACCAATCACAAAGTCTAATACGCTTTATATTGTAAGATATTAGATAATCTTTTACTTGTGTACATATTGTCAATTATTGAACAACACAATAAAATTCAGCTCTAAGATTTATTAAAGTCAAGGCAAAAGCGAAATGCTTTTTGTATACAATCGGTAAAGAAAAGGTCGCGGCTTTTCAATTGTCTCAAAATCAATGCAAAGGCTGCATCATGCAATGAGAGTAATTTCTAGAATGAAATTTAGACAGGAGCCAAGATTAAGGTTGAGATTGCTGAAAATTGCATGTATTTTTGTTATAATTTTATATTTTAGAAAACACCCCACATATAGAATTCAGATTTCTCTATATATGAGTTTTCTTTCAGATAAGGAGAGTAGTGCGATATTATTAGTGATAATATGTAGTACAGTGGTTTTGGTAGTTTGTATAGCTGTTATAGCATTCCTTTTTTACAGGAAAAAAGCGTAAGTATCTTTTAACTCTCAATTTGTAGGAACATGGAAAATGGAAAACTAAATTCTTGAATCCTCTGAAACATTTCTGTTTTCTGTACACAAACCTTTTCTAACTGGTCAATCTCCTATATTTTATTTTGTTCTAATAATCCCCAGTGGAATAAATTGATAATCCCAGCTTTTTAACGAATTTTTGAGTGCTTAAGGAAATTCGTTATAGAAATTAAAATTACTTTGTCGTTCTTTAGATTACATAATATTTCAAACCAAGTCACATATAAAAATCTACAGTACTATGCATCTCTTGTCTATTTCCCGTAGGTGTTTTGCCGTATTTGATAGAGATGGCGAGAAAAATGATCTTGATCTTAGAGTTTATAAATCTAATAGAAACAGGTATTACTATTTCATTTTAATTTTGAGCATTTTAATTAAAATTCCAATTGCAAGGTCCGAACGACATAAAATATCACGATTATGGAACAGAGACAGGGTTGGTTTCTTTAGCCTGTCTAAATGAATTTGATCATTATTATTTCCTTTGGAAATGCTATGTTAAATCTTTGCTAATTATTCTATTTCAGACCAGTCAAACTAGCAAATTTCGAATCACATGTTCAAGCTTATCATCTTAATACCAATTTTGGATTTTCTGAGGAATATAAGGTAGAGTGTCTGTTTTTTCTAAACTGGCTGCATAGAGATGCTATTTTTCTGTCACATGTTTCGTTATATTGGCACTGTAGTGATCATAGTAGTGACCATAGAAACTTGTTTATTATCCAACCTTTGTCCCGACAACCGTAAACCAAAAGTATCTCACATAATAATCAAAAGATACAAGAACCTGATTTTGAGCTCATGCTTGAGAGTTCTAATGTCTATTATTCTAGGTTATTAAACAATTAAGTCCAAAATATTCAACAAAAGCTGCTGAAAGAGAATCGTGCAGAATAAAGAATCGCTATACCAATGTTTTACCATGTAAGTACTCACCTAATATGAAATGCCTTTTTCTTTGAATAATGAAGAAAAGAAACGTCAAACGCTCTATTTCCTATCATGTTTCGATTTTTTTTTTCCTCAACATGTATAACAGATACAGTATAGTAAATGTAAAAACCGTTGAACTATGTTAAGGTTGGGTCTGGATAACCGACTATAGTTGGGCCAATTTGAGGAATCTTTGCAATGCGAAAGGCTTAAAATACCTTATTGATACCAAAAAATGAACAAGATATATGTAGAGTATATATTTGTTATTTCAGTTGATTATACTCGAGTTAAGTTGTTACCAGTTGATGACGAAGAAGAGTCAGAATATATCAACGCTAATTACTTACCAGTTAGTTTTTTTTTGTGACTTATTTTATGAATGAATCATAAACTGGTTCCAATATAGGACTTCCTGAAAACACTAAGCCTATTTCAGACTGTTGTTTGAGGTATTTTCTGGAAAATTAAACGCCAGTTTCTTCATGATCAAGTCATAGATCTCACAAAACACAGTTCACCGCACATAATACTAATCATCTTTGTTACTTAAGGGTTATAATGGTAAAAGAGAATATATAGCGGCCCAAGGTCCATTACCATCAACAACAGATGACTTCTGGAGAATGTTATGGGAAAACCAAGTATCTGTGGTGGTCATGTTAACCCAATGCATGGAAAAGGGAAGGGTGAGTACTAAATTCTATAAAAAGGGAATAGATCTCTATGGTTAAAGTCTTCAGCTTCCTTATATAGGATTCAATACAATCTAATTAAAATTGATATTACACATTCTCACGAATCATAAAAAAACTGAAAGATATATTATAATGATTTGTAATTAGATTTGAATGTTTTACAGGTGATTTGTAATTAGATTTGAATGATTTACAGGTTATTTGTAATTAGATTTGAATGTTTAACAAGTGATTTGTAATTAGATTTGAATGTTTTACAGGTGATTTGTAATTAGATTTGAATGATTTACAGGTGATTTGTAATTAGATTTGAATGATTTACAGGTGATTTGTTATTAGATTTGAATGATTTACAGGTGATTTGTAATTGGATTTGAATGATTTACAGGTGATTTGTGATAAGATTTGAATGATTTACAGGTGATTTGTAATTAGATTTGAATGATTTACAGGTGATTTGTAATTAGATTTAAATGATTTACAGGTGATTTTTAATTAGATTTGAATGATTTACAGGTGATTTGTAATTAGATTTGAATGATTTACAGGTGATTTGTAATTAGATTTGAATGTTTAACAAGTGATTTGTAATTAGATTTGAATGTTTAACAAGTGATTTGTAATTAGATTTGAATGTTTTACAAGTGATTTGTAATTAGATTTGAATGTTTTACAGGTGATTTGTAATTAGATTTGAATGTTTTACAGGTGATTTATAATTAGATTTGAATGTTTTACAAGTGAATTGAAAGCCCTTCACGTGATTTGTAATTAGATTTCAATTTCTTACAGGTAAAATGCGAGAAGTATTGGCCTGATTCAACCGATCCTGTGTATTACGGAGATTTAGTGGTTCAACTGAGATCAGAATCTAATCTTCCTGATTACAATATACGTGTTCTGGATATCAAATTGGTGAGCCAGTCAATCAATAATCTAACGTTCTAATAAACATATTCCATGATCATATACAGATTGATATTCAACCCAAAGAGATCTATTTTATTTATCTTACCTGTGCTAGTGAGGGTGCAGGGGGCATTTGCCGCAATATAAAAATTGTGTGAAGGCCTACCCCAAATTGCACCCAACTTCATTTCGAATAAATTTATAACATCATTTTTAATCTTATAATATCTTATAATTCATGATGAATATTGTCAGAAAATTACTAAATATTATTAGAATTCTTATAGTAAGCATCTAAATATTGTACCAGTTGTTCCTATATTTATGTATTTTGCAGGGAATGAAAAGCAGAACAATCAAGCAATTTCATTTCCTTAAATGGCCAGATTTTGGCTGCCCCGAGAAAACCTGGTTATTGTTGAACTTCGTAACAGCAGTGAGAGCTCATCTGTCAAATTCTTGCACTGGTCCTATTGTTGTACATTGCAGGTACAGTACCAATCGTTTTTGTTCTGATATTGTTCGTTTCCATTGCAATCTAACAGGTTTTCTACCACAGTCTCGTTCTTTTCTTGGCGTTACTTTTAACCAATCAAAGTTTGATAATTGTGATGTAAGACCTGTATCTTACGAAAACGATTTCGAATTGTCCGATAGCGATACATAAAGTAGAGTAATATGAAAGTCTTTTATTTTGACAGTGCTGGTGTTGGTAGAACTGGAACCTTTATAGCAACTGATATGCTTTTGCAACAAATACCCGATTCTGAAGAAATTGATATTTTTGGTTTGGTTTTGGAGATGAGAGAAAATAGAAGTTTGATGGTTCAAACTGAGGTATATCATGTAAATTAGTGCATGATCTAGGATTGTTAAAAAGATGTCGGCTCAATATTTGCTTTACCCTCTGATATAGCTCAATTTCAGCTATCCACGTTACCTGGTCCTCTTCTCATACAAATCAACAAAGGATAAGATATTGCGACATTGATGTTACTTCTAAGCTTCGTTCACAATTTTTTGCCTTTATGATGAAATAAATAAACCAAGCACTAACGATCCGAACCGCAAAACGAAACCCGAAATCCAAACACGATACATGTATTGGCGAAAGATTTGTAGCAGCATGGACCTCATTGATGTGACGACAATCGTTGCGCCTTCAGTCTTTGTTGATTTGTCGGAGGACAATAATTCTTAAAAAATAAAAAGCAGATGATATGGCGCTAATCAGCGCTTTCAATTTAGCCCATAATAATTTAAATCAATCGATTTAACAGCTCTTGTAGATTATCTCCACTTTTAGATCATAATTTCAGTACGCTTATGCAAATCATTGATCAAGAACTGAAAGAGCCCACTATCTCAGCCTGAACGATATGTATTAGTGAATTTTGAAATGCAGATGATTTTCACAGTAACCTAGATTTTTTGATATTTCAGAATCAATATATCTACATACACGATTGTATTCGAGATGCCTTAATAGATGACACTGATGAGGAAGAACTAGAAGAAAATATTTATGAAAATGAAGGTTTGTACCTTTCTATATCAATATCAATATGGTCGCAAATGGCCCTTATTCCATGCAGCCGCTTGAATATCATACGTAATGTCCACGTAATGGCACAGTCACACCGGACTGCGACCATTTGCGATCTTACGGCGACCGGAATTACAAGGTCGCGGTCAAACGTGAGGAAAATATGAGAAAAGTCCCTACTAAATTACAAACTTAAAGACAGTCGACCTTATACCGCGAGTTAAGCGACCATATTACATTTTTAACATTTTAGCAGCATCTTTGCCACGCGCGTAGGCCAACAGCGCTTTTATACCACTCAAGGAGTTGCTTCCGATCCCATGTCGTTCTCAATGCGTTCCAGAACATATCGCTGAACCTTGGCGCTTGTTTTGAACATGTGGCGTATAGTGGCGACAATGATGACAATTGCATGATGTCCAACGTGTCCTACACGATTTTACCACGCTTATGGCCACCCTACACGCCCTTGGCCAATTTTGCGTCGCAATAAAATAGCACTGCAATAAGAACGCATTCCCGCTGTAACAGAGCCTTAACCTACCTCTTCCCTATTCAAATGGGATCAGAGGGACGAATAATGATGATGGCCAATAAATGATTCCATGCTGGAGAATAAACGGTATAGCATGATATACATTTTGATATATCTGAAACGTTCTCTTTTTATTTCAGTAATATACGAAAACGCCTGAAGTGGTAGTTGTGTTTTCGACTGTTTGGTGTAAAGAACATTTTATTTATATATACATAGGCTTATTTATATTTTTTGTAAAAGCGTAAATATTTCTATTTTACAATAAACAGGTACATGTACTTTGTAACACGAAAAGTGCCTTTACGAATTATCAAACGTCGCCAACAAAATTTGAAAGCATTGCTTACATAAATACATTTACTTATTGGTGGCACTGTGCAATTTAGACAAAGGAATTTTGGAATGTGCCTGATACACCTTTATCTATTTATATTTTTTAATTTTTGAAATAATTATTAGCTGTTTATTATAATGTTCATATTTGTATGAATTTTGTTGCTTTGTTATATGGAGTAGTGGGGATTCTCTGGAAAACATATATTATACAAATATAAATAGCTATTACTGCATTCATCAAGCTATGTATTATTGTTGTACATTCCGCCATTGTAATCAAGATCGCCATTGTCGTCACCATTGAGATCATTATGAAATTTTTCATCAAGTGCGCCACTGTCGTCATCATCAAATTTATCATCAAGATCGCCATTGTCGTTATCACCAAGATCATTATCAAATTTATCATCAAGTTCATTATCAAATTTATCATCAAGACCATTATCAATTTTATTATTATGACCATTATCAAGTTTATTATTATGACCATTATCAAGGTTATTATTATGACCATTATCAAGTTTATCCTAAAGATCGCCATTGTCCTCATCCTCCTGATCATTATCAAATTGATCATCAAGATCACAATTGTGTTCATCATGATTATCATCGTTATAATCAAGACTATCAATGCCACCAATATTTATCAAATCATTATCGTTTTCTTTTTATATGCGAATATGTTTGTACATATTTCACAAGTCCGATAATGAAAGTGTCTTCTGTCTGTTGATAACAAAAGATGAAACTTGCATCATGGACATGAAAACTGTCGTCAGTAACTGGCCTTTTGGGTGGGTGAGAGTTATGATTTATGTATTTTTTTTTTTTTTTTACAGTACATGTATTTCTTGCAAAGGTATAAACCGTCTTTGTTATTACTTTATTTTATTATATTTTTTAAGTTTATTTAATACATTTTTATATCTTCAGATTTACTTACTTATTAAATCTGCATTGGCCAATAGGTTTTGCTAATTCAAATCTTTGCAGTAATATTGGGGAAAATATTACACAGCATGTTGTATTGGGTTGCGAAAACAACAAGGTACGAAAACCAAGGTACTGTATCTGGCACAGGATTTTCTACCCAATAGAAAACAGATCAAGCGAACATAAGATCACGGGTCCGAAATTGATCTTTTTTTTGCCAATAAAATGGTGGTTGGAGGTGAATCTGGATTAACTCAAAGAAACAAAAAACCAAAAGAACCCCAAAAAAACCAGAACTTCATTTAAGACATAATAATAAATCATTGATATACATATTTACCATATATGACAGTTATCATTCAAAAATAATATCAGTATATTTTTGAATCTAGGAAGAAAAAAACTTTTCATTATTCTGTCATCTTAATTTTATAAATATATGAGAGGTAAGTCTTGTACCAAAAGAAAGTCAAGCATAGGGCCAAGATTTTCTTTTCTATATGCCCTGGCCAATAATTATAAAATAGCTACTACAGCCCTTAGAATAGAATTATTAGTCCTAAAAAGTCATTGCATTGATAAAGATAATTCGCCAGGCATGGTAACATACACCCACAAACATCTGTCAGAAATGATAAAGTCTTTAGAGACTTGAAAATGAATTTTTCATTTTTTATATAAGTCAAGGCAATACCTTGAAAAAATATTTTATCAAATTCAAACATGAACTAGGTCAGTGCTCCTCTGATGTAACAAAATTCAAACATAACCAAGATCTAAATCATTAAGATCGGATGCAAATTGTAACCTCTATCTTGCCTACAAGCCAAATTTGAAGCATTTTTACTTAGTCAAGGGCAATAACTCAAAACATTTCATATATTGTTACTAAATTTGAACTTGACCGACATCTTATCAATATATACATGCATACCAAGTTTCATCAAGATCGGATAAAAACTCTATCGTGCCTACAAGAAATGTGGACAGACGGATGCATGTACCGACAGATGCATGTACCGACAGACGGACAAAAAGTTGATTGGTTGGTAGATGAAAATTTATTTTTTGCTTCCAGCGGATGCTGATATCAAAAAGTAGGTAGTTGGTGGTAGTTATAGTAAATATGGACCGACTGAGAGGGACAACGGTAATATACGTCCACATTTCCATGTGGATGTATAAAAAGAATATACCTATAAACATATGCACACATTTGAAATTTGTCTTTACTGGGTACAATTTTCCACCAAAACTAAAAACACTTTAACTTGGATTTTTTTAGGGAGGACGGTGTGTTTATAAACAAACCTTTATACTTTTATCAACGCAATTTCAAGTTCTGTATTTCGCTGTACCAATGAATTTGCGAAGACAGTAGTATATAATTTTTATGAAATGTAAGTCCTGACTGTGCCTTTAATACCTGCCCGACATATCGGACATTTTCTTAATGCTGGAGCACATGTAGCACAACTAACTAAATGTCCACAAGGTAAGAGAACTATATTCGCCTCTTCATCCATACAAATTTTACATGTCCTCTGGTCCTTGAGTCTTTGATTTTCTAACAACAATGATTCATGATCAGCTGAAAAAAAAAAAAACGAAAATATTTCAGGATTATATGAAAGCATTCCCATTCTTGCCATTATTTTTAAATATGCAATCATCTTGATTTATCAACTGTGTTCAAGTCCTTCAGATGAACCTTTCCCTTGATATAGCTAGTCATATATAGTCATATGTTGTATCAAATGTATTTTTTCATTGTGCTGATGAGATTTGTATCAAATACAACATTTAAAGCTATATATGAAAAATGCATATAAGAAAAAACTTACCACTAGAATTTGTATCATTCAAGGACATGGTATCTAAAACTATACAAAAATATCAAATTTAATATCACTATGAATTAACTAATTTGCGACAGAAAGTGGGAATGAAATATTTGCAATGGTTCAGTTGTCATTACTTCCAATGCTCTATGATAGATTTCAATTTTGTTCTCATATTTTCTAATTAGGAAAACACTTGCACCTTGATCTCTGAAAAGAACATTGGGCAGCCAAATGTTTCAAAGTTCATATTGGTAAAAAAACAATTTTATTATAGTTCTTTTGCTTGGTTTCAGGAACAAATTATAGTCTTTATCAAGCAAATGATTGTATAATCTATATCAAATCCCCTTTACTAAATGCTATTCAGGGAATTTAAATAGAGATTACGTTTTAGGGGGTGAAAGCCAATTCTCGGAAGCAAAGGCACAGGCATCAGGATTTTTTCTTACCTTCGAACCCAAGGTGACTTATTGCTTAGCAGACAAAAATCCAACTCACTACCGATTGAGCTATTGCACTGCCACAAAAAGACAGTGTTCCAACCCAGAGTTAGAAGAAAGTATTGACGTTTACACAGTTCGAAAGTTGTTAACCCCTTCAAGGAGATATAAATATAGCCTAGCACAGGCAAAAATAGGTATTAGGGGGTAAAAGCCTACACCGAGCCGACTCTCAATTAGAGTGATTCAAAGTTACAAGGTACTATTCAGTATAAGTCACTGACAATTAAATGGACTAATTAATAGTTTATAAATCATTTTATACCTGCTGATTCTCTCCCTTCAACCTGTGATCCACTATCGGTTAAAGTAGGCATAGCTGGTGGATGAGTGTTAGTTGGAGGCATGACCTGATTATCTCCAAGATGGTAAATAGCATTTAATAAATCTTCTACACTATCAAAATCATCTCCTAAGTAAATTAAATGTATATATAAAAATGATGGTTGTAATATATCCAAGTGTATATCTAAGTTCAAATTACATTGGGTGACTACTTTTGCAAAACTTGCAACCCTATGAAAGACAGTTTTTTTTTGTCCTTTTTTCAAATTCAGTTTATACATAAAAATACCTTTCTGAGTTTTAAACAACAATAGAAAGTAAAAAATCTACTTGACCAACCTGTTCTATTTAATCTATCTTGTATCACTAATTTCACTCTTTCCCTTGGTATTTTCATATCTAACACTTTCTGAACAATTGGTAAATCTAATCGAGCTGTTATTTCTCGTTCTAAAAGAAAGAAAAAAAAATAAAGCTATTTTCATATTCTTTAATCAAGTACATCGCCTACTCTCAAACTGATCACATGTAGTGTGTTCTGTTAAAAGTTTCCCTCATTGCACAATGCATTGGCCCCTGAATACTGACTAGATGTAAATTTACTCATATCAGTAAAATTCTGAAAATGAATAAAAAAAATATGTCAAATTTGCGCAAAATGCATGTTTGTAAATGTCACTGTACATTCATTGATTAAGTAGAAACTTATACATCGAAAAAAAAACAATAAAACTATATATATACCTTCTGTTTGAGGACTTGCACTATCAGATGTCTATAATTAAAAATAATCAATTCTTATTTAATCAATGTTGTTAATTCAAAAGACTAAATGAACAGTCTAAGGTTCGAGTCCAGAATTAAAGTAGAAATTATGTATGTCAACTTAAGATGAAATTTTTGAAATATTTATATCATAGTCTTAAAGCAGGGTTAAAACTAAATGCTATAGTCACAATTTTTTGAAAATCTTTTTATTCCAAGTTATTTTTGTTCCAAATACTGATATCACTCTTACTGTGACAACCTACCTTCCATCAATATTTTGCTACATTGCATTAAGATCTGAATTCATCTAAATAGCTTGCAAGATTATCAAAACTCTTGTTAAAATAAGTCATACATTATAATAATGGCCTACTTACTCCATTTTTAAACCTTCTAACAAACGCTTCTCCTTTTACTTGTAGAACGTAGGGACATCTGGAAAACCATCTAGCATGTTCTTTCCATGGATCATCATTAGCTTCCCAAGTTCTTAATCCACCATCACAATGAAAGCATTTAACACTGTCATCAAAACCTACCAAGCAAATATATTCATATGCTCAGATATTTGTATGTAATCTTTACTTATATTACAATGAGTTTATAATAATCTATCTAGAGCCAATTCAAAACAAATATGAGAAAAACATTAACGTTATGTTATAACCTTTAATACAGTGCTACAGTCATCTGAAATATTGTCCATGTTGATGGAGCTTCAGTTTCTTGGTTGCTACTTCTATTTCTATTTCTATATAATGTGAAGAAGCTATCATCATACAACAACAGATGAAACCTTGAAAAATTAATACAAACCTGCATAAAAAAATCCAGCCTTTGCCAACATTTGTGGTGTTTGTGATACTCCCTTTGGCCAGTTAGCAAATGAAGCAATTCTAGAAGCTTCAGTTACATATTGTGGATGTCTTGGAGGTTCAGTAAAGATACCAGTTGAAGGTAATCTTTCATCAAGCCATAAAACTTCTATTCGACTATCGTTTAAAACTGGTAGTGTAATACCTAAGTCTGATTGGACATCAACCATTCGTGGAATATTACCAACATCTCTATTCCGAATAAGTCCACACCCAGGGAAATGTTTCCGATGTTCCACAGCAGGAATATCTGTTACTTCCCAATTCTTTAAAATACCATTGCAAAAAATGCATTGTACACGATCTGCGCTTTGAGTGAAAAAAAATCCCTCTTTCGCAAGGTCAGCTGGTGTAGGAGAACTATGGGGCCAACCATCATTAAATGTTCTCAAACGTTCATCTTCTGATCTCAACTTGGCTTCTCTAGAATCAGTTAATTGAGATTTATAGTGAGATTGGGAGTAGTTAGGAGTTGAATCCGCCCTATTAACAGAGGGTTGGGTTGGTTTAGTAGCATCATGATTTACATTATTTATTGCATCAATTCTGTTTACTCGGGTAGTTAGCACTACTGTATCAGAAACCTCACCACAATACATAGCATGTAATTGTTTCCATATCTCATTACTTATATCTTCATCAGGAAGAAGGATAGGTACATTATTTATATCTTGTCCACGAATGTGTAAACACTCAGGATTTAATAGTTTATGTTCACCTTCTATGTCTGATTGGTATGTCCAATGGTTTTTCTGTACACCACAGCTGAAACATGTCACTAAGTCACTCTTGTCATCAGTGGAGTAAAAGCCAAATTTAGCTAATATTATTGGACGAGCTTTATCATAATAACACCAATAATCAAACGATGCTAACCTATGAGCTTCATACTTCATTTTATCAAGCTCAATTCCATTTGCATTTATTGATTTCATAAAAGGACCAGAGGTGTTTTCAAACGATACCATTTTCCTAATTTGATTTAAAAGTAATAAGATTATCTAATGATCCACCATCCACCAAATACATCTAATGATTCATTATTAATTGAACTTTCTGAAGTAAAGTCTGAAAATAAAAGATAAATGCATCAACTGAAGTTCAAAAAACATTTCTTTCTTTTCTTCATTTTTTTTACTGTATCATTAATTACTTAAAAGAAAAGAAGAAACAATTATTCTTTGCAAGGTAACAACTTAAGTTCACAAGGATTCTATATTGGTCATACTTTGGCATAGATCTTTCCTAGATTACTTATAGGCCTGCCTATTTACTTCTGGATTAACTGGAATAGCCAGTGAAGATGACTTATTCCGTATTACTAGGCTTTCAAACGTTGAACAACTGTTTGACCACTATATTTACAGATTCACCTCTTGAGTATCATTTTTGTATAATTTGAAACATTGACTTCAAAATACTCTGGCTGGGTTGATTAAAATGTCAAAATATGGAAAAAATATAAGGTCTAGATATCTAGAATCTACCTGGAAATATGGCAGAAGCACACAAACTCAAAGAATTGAAAATTATTTTTTTTAAATTTGTGACATGAGAGAATATGTTAGTGTGTGGAAGACTAACATGATTATCATCAGTTGAAATAATGTATTCCATAAGACAGTATAAGCATAAAACAGGGTTGACTATGACCCCTGCAACTAGCCATAACAGTAACTTGTTACCTTTTTTTTTAAAAAATCACTCCAATACCTGCAACATTCCTTACACTATAGAAATTAGCTGAACAGTAAAGCTATGCCTTTATTTGCCCAACTTTGACTTAGTGCTTTGATAACGTTGACAATTTATGTATTAAGTTTATCTAAGACTGAGATGTATTTATATTATTTGAAAATCAAGTATACGAAACTAACCTTATTACAACAATAAATTAATTTTACGAAGTTTACAAAACCCTAATTTTAGCACTACAAAAGAGATTTTTGGCAACAAACTTTCAGTTTCTGGAAAAATAGAATCCTAAAAATAGGCAACTAATATGCGTCATTTCCGGAAATAGTGAATTTCAGACCTATTTTAAAGGCGGTTTTAGACCTCCTAATTATAATTCTAAGTTATATGGACCAGTCTTTCCCTTTTAAATTTGCTCTTGTGCGTTACTGTGATATCTTTATCCGTCAAAGACAGTTAGATTTACCACTGGGTAAGAAATTTCGGACTAGGCTACTATTATAATCAAATAAATCAGATTAAGCAAAATCTATTTCGCGTCAAATCACGCGTGACTAATCAATAAAAACGCCTCTTGTCAAATCAATCACATGACTCTAAGTCATATGACTACAATCGCAGAACCATTTTCAAACTTTGGAAGGTGAGAAGTAAATTCTTTTCTTTTAAGACATATGGGAATGCGTAGTACTAGCCTATTGCGTGTTCATTTGAAATTTGTCTGTGGGTGGGGTGAGCCGAGGCTAAAGATAACGACTAACGAGTCCTACAAGTACAAGTATTATGAATAAAATATTAGCTAGAAAGTAGGTTTATGTAACAAAGAAACCTATATAGTTATAGTTTTTAAATTTAAGCTGTGTAACTAGACTAATTCTTATCTTTTTAAAAAGATATTCTCAATCTTGCATGCTTTTTTTATTTGATAAATTGGACTTGTACAGCAATCCAGCAATATATTACTGATCGACCACTGATTGACTGGTTTCCGAATGGCATTTTCTCAGATTTTTGATAGTTTGTCAAGCTATGTACAGTTTAAGTTTACCTGACTTTGTGCCAATCTATTTTTCGTGTATCTCTAGAAAGTATTATTAATTTACATGTGCGACCTTGCATGTCCTCCGCATTTGCTTGTTTTGATAAACATGGGTTATCTGTACAATGTTAGCTAGAAGGATGAATCCAGTGGTTTCAAGCAAGGTAAAATGTATTAGCCATCTCACGGTCTTGGCATTCACACGGAATTGTGTTAAAAACAGCACTCTGTTTGAATTTAGACTACTTGTAGTTGTTTATGATGTAAATTTCGAAGTACAGCTCTAATGCTAATTGAAATTACTTGATCATGGATTAATAAATGCATAGATCACACAAATTTACTACATTATTTATCTATATTGGCTTGCTTTGCAGTGCCCGCCTGGAACTATATTCTCATTTGAAGCTTAATATTATGGTGTCTGCGGTATGCCAACTAGTTATTTCCATCCAAACAAGATTTACAGCGACAAATTTTTCAGATTTACTAAAATGGTATGCAAATAAAAAACAGTAATTTGTTTTCTTACAGTGAATGGTGTCCAAACCATACTACCATTTGTCATACTTGTAAATTTATAAGACAATGTCAATAACCTATATTCGTGATATGATGATTTAAACATTAAATGTGGCGTGTTTTGATTATTAATCGATTACATAATCAATTTTGTCTATCAGATAATTTCGATTAATAGATTATTATTTTCTTCTGATAGCATATCACTATAAGCTTACTGCATTTTTTTTTTTGCTTATTTTTATTTGAATATATATTTGCATGGTACAATTAAATATAAAACATTTTCAAATCCAGTACAAAGATAACACAATTTCTCAATCATATATAGTATATGATTTGCTACAATAATAAGATATTTTCACTGTCAATAGTGCTCAACACATCAATTGTAGAGTGATATAGAAATATCCAATTGGTTTTGAAATAGTTAAAATCCATTTTGGTTTTGAAACAGTATTTATTATGATTTATACATACTGGACTGCATTTTGTTATTGAGCTTTGATAATTTTATTGAGGTCACATAGTTTATTTAAATCATGTGCTCGGTTTAGTCATTATTTGCCAGTTAGGTGTATGAAATCTAATACTTTATCTGGCAGGTCATGTGATGTGATCTGTCAGTTGATTTATCTAGGTTATCATGTGACTTCATAACCTCTTTATATAACAACTTCTATTGAAGTTATATCATTTATTTGTGAGCAGTATTGACCACCCTGTACCTGGCTTTATCTTATGTTGAACATAACTCAGGTAGATTATCTTATTTTGTTGAACTTTGTAGGCAGGTTATATTGTTGATTAAGTTTGGCTCAGAGTTATTGTAATCTTGGTGTAGGTAACCTGCTTTGTGAACTGTGTAGTTATCTTCATTTCCTTTGTTTACAGCTGTCTTCCCCTGAGCTATGTTCAACATATATCGATATAGTGAGACATTTCAATGCTTGACTTGTGTGTCGTGATTTTTTTTTCTTGACTATTGTGTGTAATTATTTTTGTTCTATTTTGTTTACAGTGTAGAGTATTTGTACATAGCTTGTTGTATACTCAGTGGTATATAAATCTGTTTGTATTTGTTTTGATTGTGTTGTTTTCTCAATTTCAGAAATAAAGAAATCACCATGTTATTAGTAGTATTATCAACAATTTTAGTGGTAACCACTGCCTTACCCAGCAGTGTGCAATGGATGAAGATTAACCCAGCTGAACATATCAAGGAAGTGAAAGATTTAAAAGCTCCTACTAGTTTCCATCCATATGATGAGTCATGGACTGCATTTAAAAATGAGCATAGTAAGTATGCTTGAAAATTTTAAAATTTATATGGGTAGATTGAGAATATTTTGAGTCTTGTGGAGAGCATTTATGTGTGATTTCATTGTTATTTGAGAAACGGGTATTAGCTTTACATTGTCTGCTATTTCTGAAATGATCTGGGTCTGTTGTCAATTTTGAGGTCATTCAATACCGATATATTAGTAATTCAGTTGCATACATCAGGCTCAATACAGGAAGCTTATTCATAGGAATTTCCTTCTAGGAAAGATTCTCAGTTGTAAAGTGAAACTGAAAGTGGAATTTGTTATGTATAATGAACTCATTTAAAAATATTCTGCTTTTTTGTAAAAATTCCTTGTTATGTTTCATGTTAGATGTTTGTATGATTGAAAAAAAAAAAACATAGTGAAAAAGAATTTCCCTAAATCTCAAAAATAAAATTGAACGGGTCATTTCTGATTACATTTAACCCAGCCTCAAGGAAACATTTATGTATGCTCAGGGAAATAAAACCTTGGCAAAGGGAACATAACATGTTATGTAATAACACTATCATTTGATTGATTTTATAGATAAAGTATATACAAATGATGAAGAAGGCAAGAGATTTAATATATTCATGGAAAATGTCAAAATGATTGAATATCATAATCAGTTATATCATGATGGTAAAAAATCCTATTATTTAGGTGTGAATGCTTTTGCTGATATGGTGAGTTCAAGATTTGAACATTCTTTTAAAGTAACAGGTTCTCCATCCCGTAATTGTGTCTTAATCTCAGAAATGGGAATTTTTTTTAGCTGAACTCATCAGTAATAGTTTTCACTGTCGAAACTGCCATATTATAAACAGACATATATAGAAAAAGACAGTTGAATTCTTAATTTGAGGTAATTTTGAAGGAAGTTCTGAAGACCCAATCTACCCCTGAAAATGGCAAACCAGTCCAAATCAGTAAATTTTGTCTGAAAGGACAGTATCCTCATTTTCTGGGTGAAAATCCATTTACTGTAGTACTAAAATGTGACTTACGAGCATGTATGACTATTCTTCAACTTGGCAATGATAATTATTGCACTTTAAAACTTGACAAGTGTTTAACTTCCTGTTATATACTGATATTAATCATAGCTGAATGTCCTACAGATAAAGTTGTTATCTTTTGTCTTTACATTGGGCATTAATCAGGGTTAACTGTAGATCACTTTTTCGCGTTATTTACTATTTTAACATATTGAAAGTTTATTTTTTGCAATACAATTTTGGTTAATATGTTGTACTTTAAAATTTATAAGTTGACGCTTTCTTAGAAGTTTCTTAGTTGCTATGGCAATTTAATTTAAATGCATTAGACATTAATGTTTACATAGTTCTATGTTATGAAGATGTAACAGTACTATTTTCTGTCTCTTACAGCAATTTGATGAATTTAAGAAATTGAATGGTTTTAAACAAAGAAAGGAGGGTGATGATCCATCTCAATGTTCAACATATTTAAAAGGTGAATTAGTTACAGTACCTGATGAGGTTGATTGGAGAGAGAAAGGATATGTTACACCAGTTAAAAATCAGGTAGGTTCTGAAAATTTAAATGCTTAGCAGTAATTGACACCTTATGGTGAAAATTGTGAGTCATGGCAAGTGTTGGCTCATATGATTAAATACTTTTGGTTAATTTTGATATTATTAAATTTTTCCAGAAATTAAATTATTCTATGCATGTAAGTTGATATTTCTCATTTATAAAAGAATATTTGTAATATTTTTACAGGGGCAATGTGGATCTTGTTGGTCATTCAGTACAGTAAGTATCTTTTATGTCTTAAAAGCTCCTTTTTATCTGCAATTTTTTCTCTTGAAATTGAATCTTTTATTTCAAATAACTCCCGTCAGTTATGTGGGTTGGATGGGCTCACATTGAAACCTGTTTATTTGTTTAGATGGAGCAATTAACCAAGGCTCTGTGTGCTACATGCTGTTCATGTTAAGATCTCTATACAGTTTAAAATCCTAAAGTGTTGCCTAATGCTGTTATATACTTATGTTTTTTTTTCCTCATACTTGGGAACATCTAAATCACATGAGGCTAATAATTAAATACCGTTAGGTCATTTACTCAAAACTAAATGTTTTTATATTTTAGACTGGCTCATTAGAAGGACAATATTTCCACAAGAAAGGTAAATTGGTATCATTTAGTGAACAACAATTAGTCGACTGTTCTGCTAAATTTGGTAATGAAGGTTGTAATGGTGGATTAATGGACAATGCCTTCCATTACATACAAAAATACGGTCTTGAAACTGAAGATGAATATCCATATGAAGCTAAGGTAAATATAGTTAGTAACTTTGAAACCACCAGTATCTGAATTTTTAAAAGAGCCGTTTTGAAAATTTTGGTTTTTTATGAGTCCTATGTGGCAATCAAATACATGTCATAGGTTTTAAAGATCAGCAGATTTAGAATAGAATAGAATGTACTAATGCTAATACATGGTTTCATTGTTTCAGGTGGAATTTAGATGTCATTACAACAAATCTGAGGTAGTTGGTGACTGTACTGGTTGTGTTGATGTTTCTAGTGGTGATGAAGATGCTTTAAAACAAGCTGTTGGTAGTGTAGGACCAGTATCTATAGCTATTGATGCTAGTCACCAATCATTCCAGTTATATCAAGGTGGTGTATATGATGAACCAGAATGTAGCAGTACACAACTTGATCATGGTGTATTAATAGCTGGCTATGGTAAATTAGACGGTAGTGATTATTGGTTGGTTAAAAATAGGTCAGTAATATCTTTCACAGATTTGAAAAAGTTTTTAAATGAAAATTTGAGTATACTAACTTGGGTGAAGTAATACCTTAAGATTTTTTGTCTCTGAAGCAGATTGGAGGGGGTGACATGGAAAAAAAATTTGTTCATGTGTATGGGATGTAAACCATTGAAAAAGTGTGGGCTTTTTTCCCTTATTGCACACTGCGTGGCTTTCCCTGCCTCATTTACCTAATAAGGGCAGGAAACTATGACGTCAAACTCTTTGTTTCATTTAGAATTTTCTTATTTGATTTTGTATTTATTTACATAAAGGTTGATGTGACGACTGTGTAATTAAATGTATAATATACATACTGTTTATATTTTGTAGTTGGGGTACTGGCTGGGGTAAAGATGGCTATGTATACATGTCCAGGAACAAGGAAAACCAATGTGGTGTAGCTACACAAGCTAGCTATCCTCTAGTTTAATTTTCTAGGTAAGGAAATACATACAAACCATTGAAATTTATTCATTTGGTTTCATGTCCTTTTCAGTGAACAAGGAGGTAATTATGTAAAAGTTTCATGTTACATCCTGTTTAACTTTCAATTTAAGGAAATAATTTCATTGAAATTTGAATCAACATTCCTCAAATAATGGTCAAGTTTTGAATATATGTTGAATTTCTTTTTCAGCCATTCCACCACTGTTGTCCAATATGTGATACCTTCAACTTTAATTTTATCATTTGTACATAAACATTCTGATTTTTTATCAATTTGCTTTTGAAATCAGTTTATATCAATATATGTTACGTAGGGCAAAAGAAAGAAAATTGGTTGTACTTATTTCTTGATATGCTCAAAAAAGTATAAGATTTTAAAAACAATTTGCCTTTAATGAATCTGATCTACCTTGATATCCGTCTTGAATATCACTGATGTTTGTACTTCAATCTCATTTTTGTTTTTAAATGAATTTGTGAATGTTTTTTTTTAAAAAATAAATGTTTTAAACCATTATTTGTATTGTTATTGTTTCCATAGAGTAAACCTACTCTGCCTTTGGAGTAAGACTAACATTAAAGGTATACTACATCCTAGGATGAATGAAAAATTGAAATTTTAAACTTGTTCCAAAATGAGTGTTCATCAATGGACTTACCTGGTGTCCGAAAGTATTTAACAGAATTCTTCCATAATCCAATAAATCCATATAACTTAATACTTTGGAATCATGCTAAATTAATGTTATAAAGAGATCCTATTCTCTAGTCATAGCACAACTCAGTAAGTCCAACTGATGAGTATATACTCTGAACTGTAGGGATACCATTACATGGCTTGTCCATACAATTGGACACTTTTTCAATGCATATTTTATGATAGATGGCTGGTGATGTTATTGTTGTGAATCGGGGGGCGATATGTGATATTTTTAGACTCCTTGATCAAAAAATTCGTAACAGTAAACTTGCAGTAAAGTGAAATTTGATGTTGTCAATTGCGTAAATTTTTAATGCCCTACGTTAATCTACTATTTTTTGAAAAAAGGGTCTTGTGTTGTATGTTTAGAGTAGAACACAAGTTGCAATGGAAGATAATGTCATTGTTCCAGCTCGACCACAGAACTAAAATCGAGGTCAGTCAGGAACAGTTACGAATGCAATAATCACAGCTCTTCTGAAACCACCATTTTGTGACCGATCAACCATGAACAGTCCAAACGTTTTAAATGGACATAAAACTTATTAAATGTGATAATTTAATACTTAAACAGTTTATGGCCTTTCAGCTAACACTATTTCATTTAAAAAATACAAAATACACAAGAGAACAATTCATATATACAAATGTGAGTTAATGATTTAGTAACAGATAACTGGCCACCATTAAAACATGGAGTCACAGCTATAATATTCTTCAAAAGACAACTTTAACTGATTCTGTTAGACAATATAAAATAAAAATCGTTTTTTAAAAGCCAATAATTTTTTTTTCACTAATCAACAACTGAACGAGTTGAATAAAACTGTATAAAAGCCATACATCAAAGGTTGGCTGAAGGTCAACAAATTTACTTATGTTATTAGTATAACTATGAGGGAATTTCTCATGTGTAGTGGTTTAATATCTATTATAATACAGTTGACTGATTCCAACATTTACATATAGATGATTGAAACAATATGAATTTTCAAAATAAACAAAACTATTAATACGGCAAATGAGAATATACACAGTTCAACTGAAATTGTATTTAAATTTGATCATAATTTTATTTCAAGATAACAATAATAAAGTATATACAGCAATGAAAATTTTACAGTTCACTTTGACCTAGTCTATAACAATGTCAATGTTAATCTTGTAGTTTATATGCTTAAAAATCTAAACAATATCATTTCCCGTCTTTTCCTTTCCTTAATTTTCCATCAGGTCTGAAAATAGAAAATAATTATCATTCTGAGAATAATTTCAACAAAAACAGGTTTCATTCTCAAGTAATAGATAATAACACTGGACCCACTGCGGAAGTACTGGCCATTCAAATTTTTCTTACATTGAGAATTATTAGAACCTATGGCAACCAATTGTCTAGCAGAAAATACAACTCACTGATGAATGCCTTAAGCCCACAATCAATTTACAACAAGTATGTAAATAACCTTCTGACACAATAGTCAATGTTTCAAGACACCGGAATAATGTGTAGGATTATAAGCTCTTCCAAATGACTGTAAACTATGTGTAATAGATTAACAACAAATATTTCAAGACTTGATTATCAGATCAATAAATAGTTAACCTATTACCTGTGTCGTGATTTATTTTTATTTTTTTTATGACGTAAAGGATTCTTTTGTATTTTTCCAGAATGGTTAGTCTGTAAAGGTATATGTGTGCCATTGTTTGTTGTTGGTAAAGGTGAATTGCTGCCATTTGTTTGACTGTTTGGAGTATTGGCACCAGATGTTACTGTGGGTGTTTCTGGCGAAGGTGATGGTCCTATAAAAAAGAGCATGAATAACATTCATAAGAATCTTAAGTTTGGATCAGATATAATGAAGGCCCCTTTTATATTTCACCAGTATATATTAATGCATCATAAGTAAGCGCCTTGACTGCAATAGCCACCTTTCTTGTATCACAGAAGCAGCTATTATTTTGATTGGATTGTACATTTGCAAACACAGCCAATCAGCAGTATATATACAATCTAAATCATATGTCTAGTGACACAGAACCCAAGATCTTTTCAGGCTCTGATTATTCTTTGAATAAGCTCTATATCTTGGTAATTAAGAGATGGCATCATGAGGAATAAAGATACCCATTACTTACTTCTGTCTACAGAATCTGATACTCCATTTACAGCCTGTAATATATACAATGTAAAATAGAACACAAAGAATACAAACTGATATATAAACAATCAGATACAAGAGGACCCTTTTAACCTACATTGTGTACTATAACTAAAACAATTACATGCATATAGCAGAGGCAACAAAAAGTACAGTCTACAATCTTTATTTATTTATTGATATTGTCTAACCATTCTGAGCTGCATGGCATTATGATTGTAAAATATGGCATACAGGTAGCGTAAAAAGTCAACTTTTAAACTTGTAACTAAATGAAATTCAACTTACAGCAGCTGATGTAACAGAAGACTTTGAAAATAATCGATCAGCTTCCTTAAATTTTCGATTCCGCTTGTCTGCTTTGCTATTTGTATTTCTGAAAAAAAGGGAAAGATATCAAAATACAAAATATTAATGGCTATTTTGCTTTTTTTAAAAATATAAATATATTTTAAATGAAAAGAAGATGCAGATTGTTTGATGACTCTACGATTTAATACTTACTTTGTATTAGTTAAATATCTATCCCAACCACGTATGATATTCCCATATAATTGTGTATCTTCTAAATAACTGCCTTCAAAGGCATAAATCTGTCTTTCTAAATTGGCTAGAGTTTCCTAAAATAAAACAAATACAGTATATAAGATATCCCCAAATTTTCGAATTAGTGTTGTTGATATAATTATGGACTTGACCTTCCCTACACACCGCCACCGGCCTTCCGTACTTCTCTGCTGGACAATATACAGAAAACAAATTAATTCAGTATCATTTTCCCCATAATTTTAGGTAAAATAGTTTTTTCAGGCATGTTAGGCCAACTGTTGATTAATTCCAATGTTCATAAAACCCGGGAATCAAAAATGATAAAAGATCAATGGACCATTTTTACCTCCATTTTGTTTTCAGAAAATTTTACGCTGGGTTACAAAAGGTTGAGGTCAATTTCTAGAATTAATACTAAAAACAAGACCACGAAATATTCAAACAATTCACCAGGCACAAATTATAAATCCAACTTACCGCTATTTCAGCTCGTCTCCTCACTAATTCTATTAATTCATTCCGTGTATCTGTTTGGGAATTTTTTGAGTTCGCCATTTTTGTTTAAAGAGTAGAAGTCAAGGGAGGTAATTCAAAATGATTAGACCACAACTAATGCTACATTACCGAATAATTGGCGTATTAATAAAATTTACAACTTGTATGCAAAAATGGTCAATCATCTTTTCGAATGCGTAAGCACAAAGTTTTCAATTCACAATTTGGCAAAAATATCTCAACAGTCTGACCAAATTCGACGAATAAATTGGCTTATGGCATGTAGCGTAATGATAGACGACTTACCCACAGGGACCGGTATCGATGTGATAATTATAAAAATAGAAATTTAATATAACGGTGCATAAAAATGTAAAAAAAAAAAGAAATAAAAAAAAAAACCAGAAAACAGTATGTAACGGTCCCTATGGACTTACCCAATAGGTTATCTAACTAGTAACATTTCAATTCGACATAATTGGGCTAAAATTTTTATATTTGGAATGGCGCAGTTGGATTCTGCCGAAATTGGGTCCAAATTAGAATTTCCGGGCGCGTGTGAATTCGGTAGACGGAAAGGGTAATTGATTCTCATACTTCTGTATAACTCGAGGTTGTATATTTTATTCGACCTATATAAATGGCCAAAATTACTTCTACAGATAACGTGAAAAATAACTAAAAGACTTAAAGATGGGTTTCTTTATTTTTTAGCGTCAAATTAAGCAAACTATTTGATAAATTGATGTTTCTAATAAATTATCATGTATTCTTAATCATATCATTATGTTCTTATTTCATATAATTATACATGTATGTACAGTCTGGATAAACAAAAAAAAAACAGAAGATTTTTTGACCTTTCTTGATAGGTCACTCATTTGAATTCTGCTAGTAATTTTCTTCTAATTTAGCTAATTATGCATTAATTATGGACATGCGAGACAAACTGGTATTTTCCAAGTCATAAGAACACCTCTACTTTCTATTCATATAAGTATTATAGGGGAACCCATCTTTAAACATATTTATAAATCAATTCCTTTCAACTCGAGGGCGACTAAAAAATCGCCTAACATTATTCATTTTTCTTCTGAAAAACCCTTCATCTGGTGTCGGCGATTCAATACAGATTGCTTCTGGGGCCTCTGACAACTGACATGCACCGTATTTTGGTGAAATACCTTTAAGTTGCAGGAACCTCCTAGCATTTTCTATTTCTTGGCTGGTAATTTCTTGGGTAGGCTGTAAAGTACATTTATTTAAATTACATTAATTTGCTATAATAGGTACCCACAACCACCACACAAGAACAAAAACCCCACCAGTAAGAAACGTCAACTATTTCGGAAAACACCTACCGATCTGTTGAAAAAATCTTCAGTTGAGGACAGGATTAATCTTCTGGTAAAGAAATCCATTCTGGACAAATACGTTAAACGGTTACAAAGTTCCTTCTCATTATTTTTATCATTTTCTTGAAAATAATATTTTACTCCACATTTAAATAACATTAAGGTATTTATTGAATAATTCCTCAATTCCATCTTCTCAAACTGACGAATTTCTGGTTTCCAAAAGTATAAATGCGGATGTGGTTTGATTGCTCTTTTGCGTTTTGACTTTTTTCGAGATCTGGAAAGGTTCTGTACACTACAACTATCACCTGTTGCTGTGTTCCTTTCAATGCTGTTTTCTCTCTCTTCTTCTCTGTCAGAATCTCTTGAAGTTGGATTGTACTTTGCTGGTAATTCCCATTCATCTAGGCTCTCTAGATCCTCTAGAACAAAATCACCATCAACATCATCATCACTAAGAACCACTTCAAGGATGTCCGGATTCAGATTATCATGTTGAACAGATAATTCACGCTGACCTGCTGCAGTGTCATCACCACCGATATCATCGTTATCATCATCCTCATCCTGTTGTGCCATTGCTGGGATTTCAGGACTCAGATTATCCCGTTGAACAGATGAATTGGATTCACACTGGTATACTCCCAGGTCATCACCATCATCCTGATGTACCACTGTTGAGATGCCAGGATTCAGATTGTCTTGTTGAACAGATAAACTAGATTCACGCTGGCCTACTGAAACGGCATCATCATCATCATCATCATCCTGCTGTAGCAATGGTGAGATGTCAGGATTCAGATTATCTTGTTGAACAGATGAACTAGATTCACGCCGAACTTCTGTAACGTCATCATCATGGTTAGCAGATTGGTTTATATTCAACAATACTCTTTCTTCTTCTTCAATTTCAGCATCTTCATGGTTGCTATATTGGTTTATATTCAACAATACTCTTTCATCTTCTTCAATTTCAGCATCTTCATGGTTGCTATATTGGTTTATATTCAACAATACTCTTTCATCTTCTTCAATTTCAGCATCTTCATGGTTGCTATATTGGTTTATATTCAACAATACTCTTTCATCTTCTTCAATTTCAGCATCTTCATGGTTGCTATATTGGTTTATATTCAATAATACTCTTTCCTCTTCTTCAATTTCAGCATCTTCATGGTTTCTATATTGATTTATATTCAATAATACTCTTTCTTCTTCTTCAATTTCAGCATCTTCATGGTTGCTATATTGGTTTATATTCAACAATACTCTTTCTTCTTCTTCAATTTCAGCATCTTCATGGTTGCTATATTGGTTTATATTCAATAATACTCTTTCTTCTTCTTCAATTTCAGCATCTTCATGGTTGCTATATTGGTTTATATTCAATAATACTCTTTCTTCTTCTTCAATTTCAGCATCTTCATGGTTGCTATATTGGTTTATATTCAACATAACTCTTTCTTCTCTTTCATGTCTGCGTCTGTTTGGATGCCGGTGAGTAATATCCTGCAAAATATAAAAGAAAGACGAGGGAGATATAGATTTATCTAAACTATGAAGTAAAAGAGCAGCACATTTTAATCGGAAGGCTAAAAACCTAAAATACATGTTAATGTTTATTTAAAAAAATCCGTTTAATTAACCACATCTTTTCAGAGTCAAGGGAAAAACATAAATAACGAACGCCAGGACTTCAAACGTAATTATTATAAGGTTCTTAAAAAAAATTATTTCCCCAAAGGGTCTATAATGGTAGGCATACTTGTACTAGTGGTCTGTACATTTAAATTCTACTTACTGCATTATCATCACCATCTGTATCCTGGATTTCTCCTAGTGGCCTATTCAGAGCAGAACTAAGTCTTCTACTTAACATTTCTACAACACCAATAATAGAATCACCATGACGACTGTAATGACTATCTGACTTCGTGGGACGAGGTTTCATCATGACTAAATTAGATTTACGATGTTTCAAAAGACTCAATGATGACAATATATCTAATGTGGGTTCAATACACTCTAACCACAATGTTGCTGGTAAACCATCTATTATTGGTTCGTCATAATAGACTTCTTCGGTCACTTGTTTAAAGCCAGGGTGAATGAAAAGATGTTTACCAGGATGTCTGTAATTTCCGTAATATCTATAATTTGATGGTTTCCCACCCAAATCACCTGTGGTCAACCCAATACCGATATTTAAAACGGGGTGATCATTACACCCACTTCTTCTGTACAAAAGATTTTCTTCATGAAGTCGCAATTCAAATTCATCTTTAAAGAAGAATACAGACTTATCACGATCTTCACTATCGTTCCTTTCCTGTCGTTTGAAGCAAGAAATCAACCTAATGTACCATTTTTTCTCTTTTACATCTATAGACGGCATTAGTAGTATTGTATGAAGGTAGTTAAAAGTTTAACGTGCAATCATTCTGCCACAATGGCGTCAATTGTGACGTAATAATTAAATAACACTATTCCCTGGTTTTTCAGACCAATGGCAACCAGACGCTTTGATACCAACTGGATCACCCCGACGATGATGTTCACTTTCTTTCCATGACCATCCAAAGGGTCGTCTGATAGTTTGCTTCATCATCTACTATTACGAATAATCATGCCCCAAAAGCAATAATATAGGCCTAATATTTATAATATAGATCTAAATATAGTGGCTTACAAACCCCGAAAGTCGCATATTTGGCTGTTTTAATAGCAGTATATTTTTTGTAAACGTAACGTCGGAATTTCATTCAGAAAAATGATACAAGTTTTTTTTTAAAATGACAAATCGAATTACCGCAAAACCAGTTATTATGTGGATAATTATATTACAGTAAGGTCGGGGGAATTGGAACACTTAGTACAGGATAAAGAATTGAAATACCCAGGAGCAGAGAGGCATCTGGTTTTTAGAATGAGTAATCTCTGAGCTGTAACAAAATAATTAAATTTATTCTGCAAAATTGACACATGATTCTATAATAAATGAATAAAGTATTGGAATTTTGTTCTCTCCCAAACTATTGTACATTTCCAGATCTGGAATGCAATCAATAACATACATTTCGCGATCTGTATTTTGAAATACAAGCAATAAAATACGTTTCCAGATCTGCATTTTGAATAAGAAATGATTTTTGAAACAACATACATTTCCAGATCTGTATATTGGAATGCAACCAATAACATACATTTCTAAATTTGTATTTTGAAATACAACCAATAACATACATTTCCAGATTTGTATTTTGAAATACAACCAATAACATACATTTCCAGATTTGTATTTTGAAATACAACCAATAACATACATTTCCAGATCTGTATTTCAAAATACAACCAATAACATACATTTCTAGATTTGTATTTTGAAATACAACCAATAACATACATTTCTAGATTTGTATTTTGAAATACAACCAATAACATGTATTGCAAGATTGTGACCTTTGTTTTCTGTTACATGCATCATGATAAATGATATTTGAAAACTAGGTATTTTTGATTCGAAAAAAAAAAAAACAGACGTTGTTTTATAAAGTTTCATATTCATGATGACATTGGAGTCTTGGCTAAAATATCATTAACATATGGGTTATTTTTAGCCTTGACTTCAGCTTTAAGTTTTTCCATTTCTTTCTGAAGATCAGTATCTGACATAGTATCTATTGGTAATTTCTTCACAGTATTTAAAAACTTCTCTATTATTTCTTCACCTTCCTAAACAAATATAAAACAATATTCATATAAAAAAATTTTTTTAGACTCTATTTCTTTCTTTTTTTTAGGTCTGAAGAAGCCTTGTATGCAAAATTTGCCTCATTTAGTTTAAAAGTGACAGCAGAAAAGAAATTTTGACTTTTTATCTTTTTCCATTTCAGACCATTGATAAAAGAATAAAATTTTTATGATCACATCCAAGCAATAAAGTTCATACAACTTAAACCTAGCATTACATAAAGGGTGGGTTCTTAACACAGTCAGCATATGACAGACCTCCATCCATCTCCATTCTTTTCAGTCTACCAAGCAGTAAATATTTTTCTTTTTCTTTATAAGCCTTTCAACCCCAGCAGATCATTTACCACCAAAAAAACACCCAAGCACCCAGTAAGGACTGTTACCAAGTGACGTCATAACTTCATATACTTTTGTAAAAGTAACAGGAAAACATCATATACATGTAATAAAAATGGTGATATAACTTAGTGATATTATGATATTAACAAACCTCTTTGACTAATTTACGTTTTTTAACAGCTGGTTCATCATCACCATATAAATCTGTACCTTGTAAATTAACGCACTGAAAATCTTCTAATTCTCTGGCTTTTTCTTTGGCAAACTGAAAAATTTGGATAAGCATTTTTAGTACAAGCAATAAAGACTTTGGATTTTCTGTTCTTACATCTGAGATGAGTAATATGACATGGAAAATTAACACAAGTACAGAAGATTTTCAAACATAAACTTCACAATATGAAGAGGAATTTAAGACCAGACATTAAGATATTGCCCTTTCAGATCAATATTATGTTTTAAAGGTTTCTTTAGGTCATTATCACCAATTGAATTATGTAATGGGTTTATTCAGAATCAGATATACAATTAAATACTTTACCTCTATGACATGTTTAGGAAAATGAGCTAGTTCGGCAACATGTATACCAAAACTCTGGTCACATACACCTTAAAAATAGAAATAACACCATCATACTATCAAATACTATTGGAACAATGCAGAATTAACCATGAGAATCAATTCTTTCTTTCTGTCTGGTTTTGAAACAATCTGAGGTGTATACCACTCTGCTCACACAGAATAAATATGCAGACAGCTCAATTTCAATATTATTTCACAATGGCTGAATAAGGTATATTTCCAAGAACAAGGGCCATGACTCATATTAAATTTTCTTAGATTTTTTTCATATTTTCGATAGGATTCAACCATAGTGATAATCAACAATTTTACCAAGTTTTGAGCAATTGTTAACGGATAGATGGACCGCTGGACAAACTGACTGACCAAACGACACGGGTGCAAAAAAAAAATCTCCACATTTCCTTTGGGCGTATAATAACAAGAAAAATTTGGTACAAATCATATGAATAAAGGATAGGATTACCTGGTTTTACTCTATATAATAATGTTAATGTATTATTTGTTGTTAAAGCTGTAACATGTAGATTGTTGACACTACTAACAACATCAGATAGAGCTGTTAATTCATGAAAGTGAGTAGCAAACAAACAAAATGGTTTTATTTTGGTAGCTATATGTCTGAAATATACGATAGATACATCACATTAACCCTTTGAACCCTGAGTGTAAACGAAATCAAACATCATATACCACAAACTCCAAGTAATATAACTTAAAGCGTATGATGTTAACACTGTATGACGTCACTTAGTAATGGTCGGTTCACCAGCCGCCCGGCTATATATTGTGGAATTATGTGACCAGTAAACCGGCCGCTAGGGTTGAAAAGGTCAAGATAAAAGCAATGGTAAAATTCTATCTCTCACCCCTTCAACCCATAAGATTCAGTGTTGTCTTAATAACTTTCACAATAAATGGTAACAGAGCTATAAATTACATAGAAACAGTAGAAACTTTCATCATAGCTTAAAACACACAATTTGATTTGTAGTTCTCAGCTTTAGCACATGTCAAAACTTACTCTGATATAGCCCATGCTAAACCAAATCCATCATAAGTTGAAGTACCACGTCCTAATTCATCTATAATAATTAGTGATTTCTCTGTAGCAGACTGAAATATCAAGTACATAATTGGTAATTTTCATACTAGTATATAAAATACACATATTTGGCTGAGGCATTTGATCATTCTGAGAATAGAAAACTACCATCAGGCCACACAAAACCCTCAGTCATATGAGAATTCATTGAGTATCACTTTTGATATCAATGGTTGCTCATTTCTCTTGTGTCACAATCTGCTTGCTAGATGGACATGAAGGAACCCTGTATAGGTCACATTAAACATTACTACATGTGTTATCAATGGTGGCTACTGCTATCACATGTCAGTCTTCTAGAAAGTTGTATTATATTCATACTGGATCATCAACAATAACCATACATTGTAATTAAAATATAAAAAAACTATCTTACTCTGAGTATTGAAGCTGTTTCTAACATTTCTGCCATAAACGTAGATACCCCTTTTAATTGACTATCACCAGCACCAACTCTAGCTAATATACTATCTACTATTGTTATATCAGCTGAGGAACAGGGTACAAAACATCCTAACTGTGCCATTAAAACCACAACACCTACCTAATAATAAACACATATTGACAATATTTATCATGTTATTGATAATCACCAGAATTTAATTTATATAAAGGTGCCATCACACCATAGTGACTATCAGTTGCGTATGGTTGCGAAAAATGAAAGTGGCCATGAGTTCTGAAGGTGACTCTTAACATGAGACATAACAGTTGTGTTCCAAACTTATGACAATTATTTTTATTCACTGATGATTGCTATGGTGCTAGGGCCACTTTAAAACCCAAAACAATTTTTAGACCCCACCAATAAATTTCTTTTATGTTTCAATTCTTTAAAGAATGTATTTAGTAAAACTAAACTTGTCTTTTTAAAATCTTCTTAGATTGACTGAATAAGATAAGACACATCAATATAATAAGAATATATACTAAAGACCTACTGATCTGATATAAGTTGATTTTCCTCCCATATTAGGTCCTGTTATTATGTGGAACATTTTCTCAGCTAAAAGTACAAATCAATGAATTGATATCATTTTTATCGGAAACCAAATCATTTAAATCAAAGAATATGTATATTAAATCTGTGTTCGAGGTTAGAATTCAAATTTAATAGTTTATATTTTTCAATATAGTCAGAGTTAATTTTAATTACATTTTGATAATATAGATAGACACAGTCTTCAACCCTAAATACTGTAATAAAACATACCTTTTTCAAACATAGCATCATTAGGAATGAATGATACATCATCTTGCATTTCTAAACAAGGATGTCTGGCTTCTTTTAGCTTTAATATTCCACTACCTACAAAATGATATTAAGATATCAATATTTATATGGAGGAATATAAACATTGATAATAAGAGAAGATATCTTTTTAATGTAATATATACTTTTCTTACATCTATCTTACATAGTTTGAATTTCATAAACAATATCTTTAAGAAACTGTCAGCAGGTCAGTTTTTCTTAGTGTTAGCAATAT